CCTCGGTTTTAACAGTGAGCATTAGGAACAGTTCGGAGGACCAGAATTCACAATTGTAGTCACTTTTTATTAAAATTGTGAAATTTCCATTGAGAAACTTGCCCTGTTTCTGAGATGCCTGAGGTACACGGGAGAAGGCATTCAATACCTCTTAACCTTTTTTTTTTATTTTAATGAAGAAAGATTCTATCCTTTGGAAGAGCCCATTCCACTCTGATTGCCCAGCACTGTGGCCAAGAATGGAGCAGTTCTGATGGCACCTTCAGTTTCATCCCACCGTTCCCACGGTCTGGGATGTCGCCTCTTCAGTGTGAGCTTTGACTGTTCTATACTGCTTCCTTTAAGGCTCAGCATGGTTCAGAAGGAGATTCATCATTTACAAGGAGCTGGTCCTAACTGATGATAAGGATGACCTTGAAGTCCTTCAGGATTCATCTCACTCTCAGATGCTGAGTAGGACCAAGAGGATAGCTCTTGTGAGAGCTGCTCGTTCCTGCCTGTCCCCTTTGAGTTCTCCCCTTTCCTTGCAGGAACATGTTGCTGGTCACGGGGAGACCGCAGCTCTGCTCTGGCTTTGCCTTTCTGGCACTCTCTGACTAATTCTATGTGAAACTTGGGCTTTCTTGAAGCCCGTAGGAGTTCTGCCATATGAACAGGGTGCCAACCGCTTCCCCTGCCTGGTGAGACCAAAGTGTTGGGTCTCCCATATCAGCAGAGAGGCAGGCAGGGCTGTATTAGCAAAATGCCATCACCCCGCAAAGGTCAAATTTTCACCAGATGAAACAAGTGATGGGGACGCTTTGGATAAGTCACTTGAAAAATGTAAGTGCCTGGGTTGTGGCTTAACTGTGTGTTGCATTCCAGAGAGTTCACAAATACCTACATAGAAGAGTTCAGTGTAGGTTTTCTCATGTCATAAAAATATAGAGATTAAATCTTTTGACCTGTAGTCAGAGAAGAAATGTCCCTTTCATGATTCATGAGGAGGAACCAAGCTCCTGATGTGCTTGACCTCTAGAGGGTTCTAGAAGTGCAAAAAGCCATCAAAAGTCCCGCTTTCCTTCACTCCTAGGGTCAGCAGCGGGGAGTGGATGCCGTCATAGCTGTTCAGGGTGGGGCTAGGGGAAGATGAACAGCCTTCATCAAGTCAAATCCTTCATCTCCCCTGATGGCAGTGGTGAGCCCCGCTGTGCAGGCATGCAGGGCCGAGACACCTTCCCGCAGGGATCACCATGTCGCGCGGGCCCCAGAGCAGCGGCGAAGCCTTGCTCACTCCTGCATAGGGCCCAGCCATGGTCTGTCACCTTGGCACGTCGGTGACGGATGGTGCCCAAGGTTGACAGACAGAGAGAGGCAAGCGTGATGGATGAAGTCTGTGAGTGCCACCGTGGGTTGCTCTGGAGCGAGCTGCTGCGTGCGTCAGTCTAAAAAGCACCGGTGTGCGTCTCCTCTGCGAGCTCAGTGATTTATCTCTTCTTCTTTTCCTGGATGGCCATTAAAACAAGATTTTGCCAGCGCTGCTGCTGCATCCAGTTGAACGCGTGTGCTTCTTGGCTCCCGGCGAGGTCCTCTCTGCAGATAGCGTGTGCTTTGGCAGACAGGCCAGTCTAGGCTGCAGGATATTACGCCTGGCAGGGACGCAAACCCTGTCCAGTTCCTGGAATTCGGATTGTCTCGTGGAGTGCTGATTAAGCAGCACTTTCAATCTGCACCCAAGACAAAACCCTCTCCCTGCCTCCGAGCATGATGCTTTCAAGCTCGGCTCCCTTTATGGCAGTGGGAACCGCAGCAGGTTTGCACTCTCCAAACCCTTCAATCTAACGCATGTCAAACTGGGAAACAAAAGCTGTTTTCTCAAATGCAAAAACGCACAGTTCGCAGTGCTGGATGAGTGTTGGCTGCTCAGGCCTCTATCTTCTGTGAAATAATCAATCATTTTTAAAAGTTCCCCATAAAACAGCCCCAAAGCCCTTCCCACCCTTGTGTGCACTTTGCATTTAGGTCAGATGTGGAGGTAAATACTCTGGCAACTGCACCTCCCAGTCTGCCCAGCCCAAGTCCCCAGTTAGCCCAGTGGAGGCTGTCGAGATTGTGGTTTCGCGCCCCAGCTGCAGCCGTGGCTCCGGCCTCACTGTGCCCTGCTTGCCTTTCTCAGCTGCTGGGAATGAAACCGTCTTTACAATAATGAGGGATTTGATAGCTCAGAGGCAGTTTCTCTCTTAATTTACAGTAAATGCTGTTTTCCCATTTCATGCAGTGCAGCGGGCAGAGCCCTGTGTGCTGCAGGCGTGGGGCCAGGAATAACAGCCCCGCGGTATGCAGAGTGCGTTGGTGGCCACCCGCTGCCAGCACCCGGCCTGAGCCCATTTTGAAGGCCGGTGTTTGGGAAGGAGTCGGAGGAAGCCCAGACTGAGCTAGACTGAGCGCTCAGCCAAGCTCGTATCCAAATCTGGGAAGGAAGCACAAACCAGAATGAACCAAAGTTGCCTTTTGGCCAAACAGCTTGTGGGGCACATGCAGGTCTCATGTGTCCTGGTGGTGCTTCCACGTGAAGGCAGTGGTGGGGAGCTGCCATCCTGGGACACGTTCAGGAGGGACCTCAGGGACCCCTATGAGGAAACAGTGTCCCCCTGTGCTGCTTTTCCCCACTCCGCGGGCGGCCGGTGGCAGCTTCCCGGGGCCACCTCCCGCGTTGCCGGAGCCATCTCCCCTGATGTTCACCCCGAGGACAGGTTTGCAGGAAGGGTTTTGCTGTCTCCTCTTTGGCATGATCATTATTCCAGCTGCTGGGCCTGGGGTGGATGGAAATATCCCTCCGCCACATGTCTCCAGCCGTTCCCTGGGGCCCCTAACAGCTTGATCCACTTTACGGCAGAGCTGATTCCAGGAAAGCTTGAGCACTGGCAAAAATATACTCAGGGGAATATTTCAGCAGTAGTCTTACAGTGGGACATTTGAGGCTGTATTGATGTAACTCATCAACTCACGATCTGGGTGTTATTTATGCTCCTTGCTTGGGTCTAGCCCTCCCAGCACTCCTGTTTGACTTTCCTCACGCTGCGGATTTGTTAGAGTTGCTGGTTTTATTCACTCTGACTCAGTTATTGGCCAACTTCTGCCCCTGCTGTAGAAGACTGGCCTAGCCATAAATCTCGTCCTTGCCTCTGGGAGACCTCCCACCCCCCCCCCAGAAACATCTTCCCCAGAACTGAACCCGGAGCAGCGTGGAGCTGCCCTCCCCTCTCCTTTCGCAGCTGCACAGACTGTCTGTCAGTCCTGGCTTGAAATTACGCAGGTGGGAGCAGCATGGGAAGAGAGATGAGGTGAGGGCAGGAGGAGGCACACCATTTAGCCTCCTGTTGCACTTCTATTACTCCACCAGACTGAAAGATATGTATGATGGTGATCCTCTGCTTCAGGGGTCTCAGGGCAGTGCATCGCCCCTCACCGACACCTCGCTCCTCATCCCGGTGCCACCAGTGAGCGTGAGAAGCCGTGATGGGCTCCCGCTGTGGGACTGCCTTCTGCTGCGGGGGACCTGGCTTTTCCTCCCCTCCTGACCACAGGACACAAAAAGGGCTTCTTCACTGTATCTTTGCCAGGCTACTTGCGCCCACAGTGTGCAGGAAGAGCAGCATGCATCCCTTTGGGGGAGGTTTGAAGCATCATTCGTTGCAGTGACATGGTGCTGCTGTGAACAGATACCCTAGAGACAAGACCACAGTCCCTGCAGCCTCCTTTTCTACCTTCCTGGGCACCAACTTTCTGCTTTGGGCACCAGATTTCTCCCTGGAGCATGCTCTGGTCTCAGCTTCAGCACCTCAACGTGTGTCTTCACTGAACTCAGAAAAAGTAGTTTGTCCTCGGTGTTCACCAAAGAGCCAAACTCAGCTCCAAGCCCACCTGGACCCTGGCAAAGCCAGGCTGCTCCGTCCACCGCGGAGCAGCTGTAGCGCTGCAGGAGCCCTCACTCCCCGTGCTGGGCTTGCCCGCTCCCAGCTGCGGCCCCGCGGCGCCGGGCGATAACTGCAGCAAGCCCCACCG